AAATAAATTTAAATCGGTATTTTTATTCCTGACTCTGATGTCAGTGAAAAATCAATAAAATAAATTTATATTAATTTTTTTAATTAAATTCATTATATAGGTTAATATTTTATTTTAAATATAAAAATTATAATACATTATCAATTATATTCTAAATAAGTTGTAAGGGGTTTCATTACTAGAAACATACGAGCGTGGATCAATAATTTAGCATGATAAGCTCTGTCTATATAAGATTAAATCAAGGGTTTAAATCTATTCACTATTTGATCTAATAACTTTTCAAGTAACTTACACTGGAGTTTATTGCCAGTGCAAGCAGGAAAACACCGTCTTACATGCATGGCAGGAGCCAAGGGGCGTCTGAAAAAAAAAAAAACTCACCTGCTCTGTTGAAAAATCTCTGCATTTTTTAAATTAATTTTGTTGATATTTTAATTAATTTTATTGATGAAAAATTAATTACCACCCTGCAAATCATCTATTTAGGCCCAGCCCATGTACCAAAATTCAAAACCAGCTTTCCCTTTTTTTAATTGAGACTCCATCAATTTTATCTCCATTGCTATATTATCTTCTACTTATATCTATTTATTTTTTTAAATATAATCTAAAAAATAACTAATAAAATACACATTAATTATTCCATTAAAGCTTTCATGGGGATACTAGGGAATCGTGTGGGAGACAATTAATATAGCTGACATCGCTTGATCTCGTTAAAAGGAACTGTATAATGAATGCGGACTTCAAAAATTATGCATCAATCCATTGAAGTTGAAGTCCGTGTAGGGTATTATAGATTTTTCCGAGCCTCTCACTATCAAAGCAAAGCTGTCAAATGCACATGGCCACATTTCGCTTGATCTGATTTGATTTTTGGTACTTCAAGCGGCTAATTCACAGCCATATATTATATATATGCGTCAGAAGATAAAGACAAGGCATCAGTAAATGAATGAAGATGTCCAGAAAATGTCAATTCAACTATAATGCATTATCAATTATATTTGTTGACTTTATATGTATTTATTTTTATTATATTTGTTTGTGTTTATTTAAGATATCAAAAAATATAAAAAAAATTTAAAAGGAAATAAAGTATTTTTCTTCAATATACAAAAATAATAACATAAAAATAGATATCATATACGAATATGATATTAACAAGTTATTTAAAAAAATTAAAAATATAATATTTCAATTTAAAATCTCAACAAAAAATAACTTAATGTTAATAAGTTATATATACAAAAGTGATGAAAAATAAAGGATTTGATGAGATCACTTTTAAAAATATATTTGATCATTTGGTCTAACATGAAATATTGATAAAAATATTTATAGTAGAAAATATTAATTTGAGAAAAATTTAGATTTAGAATCTTGTGAACTAACTACTAGAGACCCTGATTGCTAAAATGATTTATAAAAAAACTTATGATTATTATTTAAAACATATATTTACTTATTTAATTTAATTTATTATGTTTATGTTTGTTAATTTAAACTAATATATATTTGTATTACATCAGAACTTATTTATGCATGACCATGTTTGATGTATGATATTTATATTTATTTTTTAATTTTTATTTGTTATATATTAAAGGGATATTAAAAGATTAATTTCACATACCTATTAAAATTTTTTTTATCTAAAAGACCTATCAAAATATTTTTGTAGTTATTTATCTTAAAAAAAATCTTCATACAAAAAAAAAACTCAAATATCTAATTCTTAATTAATACCATAAACTAATTTGGTTTTTTTCATACAAAAAAAATATTTTAAACTTTTAAAACTAAAAAAGATATTAATAGGTTTTACTTATGAAATATTTCTATATCTTTATAATATTATATGACATATATAATTATATTTTATAAAATAATTTATATATGAATATAGGTTATAATAAAAAAATTAATTATTATAATTTTTAGATTTTATTTTTTATAGTTATTTTTCAAAAATTTATTTTTTAAAAAATATTTTCTAAAAAAATTATAGTTTAGTAAATAAATAGATATAAAAATGCATGCGAGAATTTGCGGTTGATTTTTTTCCTCCTCAAATCAGGTTCTCTTTTTGACTAATCAACATTTCTCATTTTTGACATGCACAAGGCTTTGACGGGGCTTGTGTTGGAGATAATTAATGTAGCTGATATCACTTGATTTAATTAAAAGGAATTTATTTACCGTCTTCAGACTTCAAAATTTATAAATCAATCCATTGAAGTTGAATTCCTTGAAAGGTATTATAGGTATTTTTGCATCGATATTTATGAGCCTCAGCCTCACATTATCAAAACATAGCTATCAAAAAGCACATAGCCACGCATATCTCTTCATCTAATTTGATATCTGGTCCTTCAAGTAGCTAATTCTCACAGACACACACACACACACAAATTAAATGAATGAAGATGTCAATTACAGGAACTATTTTCGAGGACTCAACAATGAAGAACATGCAAATGCTGTATATAAGGGGGGGAATCAAATGGCATGACAATACACCATGAAGGCTATATTATCTCCATTGCTATATTACCTTCTACTTATATCTATTTATTTTTCAAAATATAATCTAAAAAATAACTAATAAAATACACATTAATTATTCCATGAAGGCTTTCGTGGGGCTCCTAGCTAATCGTGTGGGAGACAATTGATATAGCTGATATCGCTTGATCTCATTAAAAGGAACTGTGTAATGAATGCGGACTTCAAAAATTATGCATCAATCCATTGAATCTGAAGTCCGTGGAGGGTATTATAGATATTTCCGAGCCTCTCACTATCAAAGCAATGCTGTAAAATGCACGTGGCCACATATCGCTTGGTCTGATTTGATTTTTGGTCCTTAAAGTAGCTCATTCACTGGCACGCACATATTATGCATCAAAAGATAAAGACAAGGCAGCGCTAAATTAATAATTTTCTAGAACTCAAGGATTGACAATGAAGAATACGCGAATTCTGTATATAAGAAAGAAAAAAAAATCATATATCATGAAAAATACTCAACGATATTATTTTAAAATGCATATATTTTATGTTAGTTTAAATCCAGTAGAACCACTTCACTGGCCAGTTGTTGCCCAAAGAGAATCGAGATTTTTCTCAGAAATTTGTTTCCTTTTTCAATTTGCGGAACTGGGAACAAAACAAGAATTTATTGCAGAACATGAGTCCTTTGTGGAATTTTCAGCTTCCCTTGCTTCGCTTTTGTTGCCCTCGCTTGCATCAGAAAGGTCACCCTCCTTCGAGAATAGCTCTGTGTGTGTGGCTATGTAAATTAGCTCTCTGTGTGTGTGGGTGTGTAAATCAGCAACTTGAAGAAGATAAAGACAAGGCAACATTAAATGAAAGAAGATGTCAAGAAAATGTCAATTACAGAAATTATTTTCGAGAACCCAAAGATGGACAACGAAGAATATGCAAATGCTGTATACAAGAAAGACAAAATCAAATGGCACGACAAATACTCAACGATATTTTTTTTAAGTGTAACCTAAGGAATAGCTAATAAAATACTCATTAGTCACTCTTTCAACATCACAAAATCTCTGGTATGTACAAGGCTTTCATGGAGCTACCAGGAAATCGTGCTGGACACAATTAATATAGCTGATATCGCTTGATATAAATAAAAGGAATTGTATGATATATTCGGACTTCAAAATTTATGTATTAATCCATTGATGCACCAACATTTATGAGCCTCATAATATCAAAACAAAGCGATCAACTTCACATAGCCTCACATATCGCTTGATCTGATTTGATTTTTGGATTGTCTTTGGTCCTTCCCACCCCCCACACACACACATGCATCTAGAAGATAAAAACAAGGCAACATTAAATGAAAGAAAATGTCCAGAAAATGTCAATTACATAAATAATTTTCCAGAATTTAAAGATTGACAATGAAGAATATGCAGATTGTATATATAAGAAAGAAAAAAAATCAAATATCACGACATATACTCAACGATATTTTTTAAAATGCATATATTTTATGTTATTTTAAATTCAGAAGCTAAAGAAACGAGTAGCTTTATCTCCTCTGGAAAATGGTGAGGATAATAATGATAGCGTGTATACCTTCTTGGAAACCGGATCTCTCAATTTGACTGTGTTAAAATAATTAATATTAAATATAAAAAAGAAGGTTAGAAATCTGGATTGTTGGTATATTATAAATATCAAGTCTTAATTTAAATATAAATAAAATATTGAATTATTATTTAAAATTATTATTTTATGCATTTAAAATTATTATTTTATTTTTAATAAATAAAATTACACAAATATTATATAACAGATTGAATCCTCCAAAAACATGCAGCGAATTCTTGAAAATGAAGGTTTTTTTTTTCTCTCTTTTTAATTGAAGTCAGTTGGGGTGGGGAATTTCAGGTGGAGAAGGTCTCTGTGTACGATAGAGAACAGGAGATCGAGTCCATTGCTCATAACAAGCTGCGCGATGGTTTAGCCAGGCAGCAGGGGGTGTCTCGGTACTGTGTTAAGGCTTCCGCGTCAGACCTGTAATGTTCTTTTGTTTTATTAAGGTTTCTCGTTGTGTCTTTATTTGTATTGGTTTGGTAAGAGAGTGTAAGCTTACCTTCTTTTCTGATCTCTGTTACTCTCGCTGCATTCATGCAGCTGTACTTTTGATCTCCGTTTACCACTGGCTACCTTTGCCCTCTGTTGTTCTAATATATCCCCAGTATATATACACTGAACATTCTGCTAAACCAACAATGAGTAGAAATTGCATCCCGTGGAGCAAGTAGCCGTTATTTTGATGTTATCGTTTCATGATTAATCCACCGGTACACAGGCCATTTATCATGGGCTTCAACTAGTGGGAAAATTTGATTTTTTTTTTAATTTTGAATTTTTTTTAATGTTTTTAGATTATTTTCTTTTCATAATAAAAACATAAATAAAATATTATTTTAATGTTTTTTTATAAAAAAATATACTTTTCACAGCATAATCATCTTAAAATTAAATAGGAAAGCAGATAATGCCCAGGTACACAGAGCATCAGCGTATTGATTATTGCAAGTACATCTTCTGCAATCTACTAGTAGAGAGCTGGATTGGATAATCTTGGTGTTGGAATTGCAACAAGAGGGTTCTTCATCTTCAAAACAATCCCAAACTTCTCCGTAAGATCCATTTTCTGACCTTCAGGTAATTTCCAATCAAAAGAATGCAGAAATGTAGCAAGGAAATACAGAAACATCCTCTCAGCCATTGCTATCCCAGCACAAATTCTCCTTCCGGACCCAAACGGGAAATAATTGAAGTCACTTCCACTGTAGTCAAATTTACTGTTCAAGAACCTCTCCGGTTTAAATTCCAAAGGATTTTCCCATATTGAAGGGTCCCTGTGCACTGCCCATACATTGATAAAAACTCGAGCACCCTTTGGAACAGAGAAGCCTCCAACAGTGCATGTTTCACTAGGGCAATGAGGGATTAGCAGTGGGAGAACTGGGTGCAGCCTCAATGATTCTTTCATGATGGCATGTAAGTATGGCAATTTGTGTATGTGAGCCTCCTCTACTATGCTGTCCTTGCCAACTACTCTGTCCAATTCATCTTGAGCTTTTCTCATTACTTCTGGATTGTTCATAACTTCAGCGAAGGCGAACTCAATTGCGTTAGAGGATGTGTCTGTACCGCCGACAACCATATCCTGTCACCAATTAACCAAATCTTTTAATTAATTCCTTGCGGCACGACTAAAACTGATTCTATAATTCGCAAGTAAACCAGAATTTTGAAAAGAAACGAGAAAATAATCTTTGAACAATAAGCATGAAGTTCGGATCGATCTTCCTTGCTACATGTATGCAAATACGAGTATATTCGTAGATGAAATTCGTTACCATATTTCCTTTTTTAAATGCTGCAATGCACACCACACACACACACACACACACATGTTGGTAGCTATTCCTTCTGCATTTAATTTTCTTTCGTAAATACGATTAAAAAAAAAGGTCTTACACAAAATTACAGGATTAATAAGATGAAATCCAAAAAAAATAAAAAGAAAGTTATTTAAATCAACACTCCATTAAATTATTTGTAGTTTCTGAAACAACTCAATTTAGTTCCACAATCATATCAAATAAGAGCAATCCTAGACTTTATTATTTTATACCCAATTATTTAACATTATTCGATTCTTTTAAGCAGCTATTCTAGAATTTCTTCATGCCTTCAAACCATCTTTCCTTCTAGCTAAAATGATATTTAGTTGTGATTCTACACACACACACTGGAGCACCACAAAACCAAACCCACCACCGGTGAAAAAAATATATTAAATCAAAATCAAGCTTATGCGTGTGGTTAGTGCAACATGATTTCTCTTCAACGACAAGAACAATAAAAAATTCTGACTTCTATATATATATATATATATATATATATAAGATAGATGATAAATTAAATTAAACTTATGCATGTAGTTGGTGAAACATGATTTCTTTTGAAAAACAAGAAAAATAAAAAATTTAAATTTATTATAAAAAATTTAAATTGATAGATAAGATTTTAAAAAATTATTTAAATTATTTTTTTAACATATATCTTCAAATAAAAATCATTTAATTTAAAACTTGTGTATGTATATATTTAATAAAAATAAAAATAATAAAATTAAAACTCATTATCTAAAACCCGTCTGGTTGAAGTTTACCTTTTTATATTTTAAACTATTATTTACTCAATTATTAGGGTATGTTTGAAAGTATGATTGATGTTGCTTTTTAAATAACTTTTCGTGTTAAAATGCATATTAATGATATTTTTTTTATTTTTTAAAAATTATTTTTTATATCAATATATCAAAATGATTTGAAAATATTAAAAACATATTAATTTAATGTTAATAAAAATATAAAATAATTTTAAATTTTTTTAAAAATATTTTTAAAAAGCAAAAACAAACAATATGTTAAACAGTAAGTCTCGGTAACGACAGGAAAGCCAGTTAATCACGATAATCCCAACACTCGTCCGGCTAGCATGATAATCCCAACACTTGTCCATTTAATCATATGCCTCGCAAGCATATCTGATCATTTCATTATCATCATGAAGAGAAAAACATACCATAAGCAAGGCTTTGATGTGGGTCATGGTTAATGGCGTCTTGACATCTTCTTCATCCTTCACTTTCAACAGAAACTGCAGAAAGTCTTTGCTACTCGCCCCTGCTCTATCCCCCAACGCATCAATGCTCAATTGTTTTTCAATCATCCTGTCAAAAATCTGATCAAACTTTGGAACCAAACCCCTCATCTTTTTTACTAGGCCTTGCAAATCGAATCTGGCCAAGGCAGGAAAAAAATCTGAAATGTTTGGCGCCGCCAATAACTCAGTCATGTCAGCCACACGCCGCCTAAATTCAGCACCTAGGCTACCCCTTTCTTCACCTTGGGCCGTTTCACCCCATAACATGCTCGTTACAACATTCAATATTGTCAGAAAAGTTTGCTCTCCCACGTTGATGGGTGACCCGGGCTTACTATATATGTAAGCAATGATGTTTCGCACTTCGCGGCGGCGAAGCTCATAAACCGAGTCTAATGTTGAGTTGCTGAGCATTTTGAGGACACAAACTTTTCTTAGCATCCTCCACTCTGGCCCATATGGGCTCCAAGCTATATCTGAGCCACCATAGGCTGCTGTCCGGGCAACATCAGGCACATCACGGTTAGCAAATGTTATGTCATGGTCTTTAAGAACTTCGCGAGCCAAATTAGGGGAGCTCACTATGATGCCAAGCTTGTGGCCAAGCTGCAGCTTCAAGATTGGTCCGTAAGTGCGCGCTAGCCCAGCAAAGTATGTGTGAAGATCTGGGTCAAGAGAAGCTAGATTGCCAATTAATGGGAGCCCTCTTGGACCAGGGGGTAGAGATGGACTTCCCTTCTTGGATTCGGCACGTCTCCATGCATACCAAATAATAGCAAAGAGAGCCAAGAGAGTGGCTATTGTGCTTGCAGAAGCATCTATATGAAAATTTTCAAGAAAATTTGTAAGGGGGGTCATGGTGTTTGATAACAACAGGGGATTGAATTTCAGAGAAAGGGAGGAGGTCTCTATGGACACGGAAATAGGCACTTTATATAAGGCTTGGTCTGTGTCGTCATACGATCATCAAACGCATCGATTTTCCCCCCCTGTCTTTCCTCTGAGAATGATGACATTTCACATCAAGCTGAAGACAAAGGAGCATTTTGAAGAGAGTGCCTACACGAGGCAAGGAATCTCCGTCTTTTGTCTGTATTTATTTAGCTTTTAGGGTCTGTTTACGCAATACACTACTCATGTGAACAGTGCAAAAAATTGCACTGTTCACTTAAAAAATAATAAATAATTCAGTTTATTTATGCTATTTACGAGTAAATTACACTACTTACAATTTTTTTAATTATATTAATTTTTAAAAAAAATAATTTACAATGAATTAAATTTATTTGGATTGTGATGTAAACAATATTTTTTCTTGAAAAATTATTATAGAGTAAATTAAATTCACTCGCACTATAATATTAATTTTATACCTGATAATATCTTATCTAATTTTATTGCACGCTCAAAAAATTATAAAAATTATAGTTTTTATTGGATGAATTTTGTACCTAGTAGAATTATAAATAGTTTAATAAAATAATAAAAAATATTTTATATAAAGTATTATTTATTTGATGATGTAATAAGAATAATTAATTTTATAATATTTAAATTTAAAACCATCAATATTAATATATATTTTTTAAAATTATTTTTATAGCTTTAATTTCAAAAGCATTCTTAACCAAGCATAATAAAGTATTTTTTTTTCAACCACAATTTTAACCAAACATCTATTTTTTCAAACCAACCTCAACAAAAAATATTTTTTATAAAATAACTTTTTTCAACCCACAACCACAACAACTATCACAATACTAAACACATACTTAGTATATCTTAATAGTTTACAGTTCCACAATTGATGCAAGTTAGATTAATTTTTTTTAATAAAAAAATATTAGATGATAAAAAAAACTTATATCATATATAATAGATTCATCTTAAACAACATGAATTAATTATTTATTTATTCGTAATCTTGTCATTATTTTAATGGTAAAAAAATTAGTAATAGAGATGGTTTTTGAACCCAAAAATATATTTTAAACCATGTGTTTTTCTAAAAAAACATAATTAAACCATTTCCAAACCATCTAATAACAATAAAAACCCAAAATATATTAAAATATAAAATTTAACCTAATTTTTTAAAAAAATCATGTGCCACGTGTAAATTTAGAGAAAAAAAACACCACATCAAATTCTTCTTGTTAAATAACATTAGTTAACATCAATAACGATGATTTTCATTGATAAAAAATAGTCAAACAGAAATTTCTCTCTCCTTGTCGCTTTCAAGCTACTTTTTTTTTCTTTCTCTAACAAAAAAATTAATAAATAATAAATATTTAGATCAAGTTAAAATTATGAGGAATAAAACAGCTTTTTTTAAGAATTCTAGATTAAGCATATTATTTCTTCTTGTTTTATATATATATATATATATATTTTTAATTTATTGCTTTTAAAATATTTTGATAAATTGATTACTAGTTTGGCTATGAAAAACTGTGATTGAAAAAAAAAAGAGAAAGAAAAAACAAAGAAAAGAAGAAAAGGAGGTGATCTTTATGGATACAAAATTAAGATTGATGACAATCCAAATCAAGATGAAGACAAAGGAACCATCTAAATGGTGGCCAAATGGTAAATACTTGAGTATATATATATATATATTTTTAATTTATTGCTCTTAAAATATTTTGATAAATTGATTACTAGTTTGGCTATGAAAAACTGTGATTGAAAAAAAAATGAGAAAGAAAAAACAAAGAAAAGAAGAAAAGGAGGTGATCTTTATGGATACGAAATTAAGATTGATGACAATCCAAATCAAGATGAAGACAAAGGGAGGTGGTCTTCATCTGTCTGGGTTTTTTTTTTATTTTTTTTATTTTTTTAACACAGTATAATTTATTTTCTGGATTGACTTGTTTGCCAAGGGCATTGCACCGATGACTTCCAAACTCCTTGCGGGCGAAAGGTATAAAAACACACTTTTTAAAATAAAATAAAAAATCAGAGAGAGACGAGAAGAGATCGAACAGCTAAAATTTTGAACAAATAACTTCTTTGGGCGGTTGACATTTTTTATTTGGATATTCACAACTTTTTTGTTTCATTGACGCTTTCAAAGGTACTATAAATTATAAGTGTCAACGTCTTTCTTGTCTTCTTTTTTCAAACATGTGACCAATTGTGTTGCTGTTAAAAATACATTTTTAATGTTGCATTAAAAATATAATATAAATTTAAATTATAAAATTATAAAGAAATTTTTTTCAACACCATAAAATATATGATTTAAATAAAAATTAATATATAAATTAAATAACTTAAAAATACAATTCATAAATTTTTTTAATTATCCATTAACAAGCTTATTAGAATCAAATTGCAAGTAATTGAAAAACGGATGAGACAAGATATGTTATTATTTATATTCGTAGTTGTTATAGTTTAAAATATTTTTTATTTTTAAAATTAATATATTAAAATAATTTAAAAATATAAAAAATAATTTTAAATAAAAATAATTTAAAACTTTTGAAAACGAAGTTACGAACACTCCCAGTCCTCGCAGCTCAGGCGAAGCTACCAAAGGCAAAACCTTGTCTCTTTCATAAACTGCTGCTAGTTAAACTGAGATGGCTAAGAAGGCTCTCACGCAAAGCAAAATTAAATAAATGGGGGAAAGAAGTCAGGCAAGATTTTGATCTATCGCTAGACTCCATGCTAAATAGAGTTTGTTTTATGAAATAAGACTCATAACAAAATTTAAGAAAAGGCAAAACAATTAATTTTGTTATTTTTGTGGTTGTTCTTGAAAATGACAGCCCTTATATGAACATCAAATATTATTTTGGGGTTATAGAATAAATTACAGTTATTTTTTAAAAATTAATTTTGATATCAACACATTAAAATAATTTTAAAAAAATTAAAAATATATTAATTTAAAATAAAAAATAATTTTTAAATTTTTTTAAAATACTTTTAAATAACAAAAATAAACATTCTCTTACTAAAAATGCAAGGTGCTTCCTCTCCTTCAACCTCTCACATGGTCTTTTTTTCATCCTCGAAGGTGGAAGCCTTGTCTCAATACGATCATATTGCGCTTCCCTTCTCCTTTGACTTGCTAGTTTACTGCTATTTTGGATTTTTGTTTTAGCAAAACAAATTAACATTCTATAATAAAAGTCTCATCAAGCTATTGTTGAAAATAATCATATCTTAAATTGAAACTCAAAATTAAAATAGTCAATCTTTATATTATATGACCCTACAACTTCTTTCTTTTTCTTTGTTTTTAGCCTCTTTTCTTACACCCCAGCCTCTTAAAAATGTCAAGCCACACACCATTCTCCTTCCCTGCATGTGTATATCATATCCTCAACTAAAAAAATACTCGGGTATAATTATTTAAAAACATTGCAAATCTAGTATAAAGAGAACAACATAAGCATGTTTGGCTGAAAAATATAACTACAATAAAAGACTGAGATTAACACAAGAAAACTGATGGCCATAATCATTTTACCAAGAAAAATTCTAAGTCTTTGTCTATAAATAAAGTGGCAAGGTAAGAAATAAAGTTAGTCAACTAAGAGAGAGAACATTCCACTTTAGAAAGAGAAAAATAAAAAGAAAAGTTTAAGCTACGAGATGTAAGGTTAGATTAAGCTAAAAGGTACAGGAGGTGAAAGAAAAAAAAAAGAACAAAAGAAGAGAGGAAAAAACAAAAATAAAAGAACAAAAATGAGAGTTAAAATGTTGTGTTTCAATATATATTAAAATGTATGTATTTGATAAATACTAGGCCAACTTGTAATATTTTTAATTAATGTCATGAGTTTTCATTCTGGAACAACTAATCAATCCAAAATAATGTTAATATCAAGGTAGCCACCATAATATCATAAACTTCCATTACTCAGGACAACTAATTAAGTTCAAGTCAATGTCGATGTCAATAACACCTCATTGTCCATCACATGGACATCTAATCAAGTTCAAGTCAATATCAATATCAATGTTACCACATTGATATCATTAGCTTCCATAACTTGGACAACTAATCAAGTTTTTTGTTGTCTAGATACTTAATCAAGTCCAAATAAATATAATTATCAATGTTACCCTATTGATAATATTATTTCTCATCAGTTGGATAACTAATCAAGTTCAAGTCAGTATTGATATCAATGTTACCCCACTGATATCATTAACTTCTATCACCTGGACAACTAACCAAGTTCATTTTATTTTTTTATTGGGTTAATATCGATGTTAGTCTAACTAACATCATTAACTTCTGTTATATGGACAACTAATTAAATCATTTTCATCCTTTTTCCTTTTCATTTTCTTCGACATTCTTATTACATAAATCATAAGTCATAAAAATTAAACTAACAATTATAAAATTGTACTACCTACTTAGTATAGATGTAAGACACTTAACTTGAGTCTGTGCATATGTTATTGTTCTATACTATTTTTGGATCCTTATAACCTCTATGTATTACTAGGAATACAATCATTATCAACAATGCAACCAACATCAATATTTCATTCCAATTCTTATTTAACCATTATTTCAACCAATAACAAGAAAATCCATGTTATATACACATGTATATTTTTTTTTTTTGTTAATGTTCATACTTATTCTTATAGTTTATAATGTTGACATCCTCAACTGACAATAATTCTAAGTAAGCATTAGAAATATAAAAATATTGGTTAATTTAGTCTAACTAACTCAAAATATTATTTGATATTTTAATAATAACTAGAGTTATAGAACTTGATCTCGAACTTAGTTTATTTTTTTGGACCTCTATCATTATCTTTCTTATTGATATTTCTCTCATCTTTCTTATCTTTTTCCTTTTTCTTTCTTTTTATTTTATTTTTTCTTTCTCTTTTTTTAGCCCCCTTCTTGATCTCAAAAGAGGTATTTATAGGATTTTATTAGGGTTTTGGGAGATCTTGAATCCATTGTTGACCTCTTGATATTGAGGGGAGTGTTGTCATGTAACAACTCAGCCCAACCTGCTATGTATTATCTACTTTGGATCTTCCAGCTTTATAATTTTATTTATAATTTTATTTTTAGGGATGCGAGCCCATCATTAGACCTGACGCCCCATGACACCTTAAAATGCATACAAGAGAAATGAAACTACAAGAGGGAAAAGCCCAAAATAAATAATATACAATAAGTTAGGCTGGGTTTTAGTAACTATACAAAATAGTGTGATAATGGAGGCTATGGTTGGCATTATATGAAGAAAAAAGAACCAGAATAATTGTAATAAAGCAGCAAGAAAAATAGTCCGTGCTGAAAATGAAACCTTCGATAGATTACTCCAACAGGACAACATGGTTACGAGAAAATGACAAAAGAACGCAACCATATTGTTCTACAGTGCTTTCCAACGAGTTAGCACTGTCTGTGGAATTCGGTGCTTCAGTAACCCAAATAGCAGAAGTCAACAAACATAATGCAGGAAAAGGTCACTACCGCAGCCTGAAATGATGCTCTCAGGCTCCCTGGAGAAGAGAACTGTTGCCAGTTCAGAAAAAAAGCAAGAGATCCTTTTACATAAATACCTTGAGGTAAAAAGAAACTCTACATTCTTCATATTGTATGGTTTTCTAGAGACAACATTATATAATCAATGATTCTAGCTAGCTATCTTCTTTTATACATAAGTTCAAGGACTACCTCCGCAATCAAGGGGCAAATTGTCCAACCACGAATCATCCAAGAGAGGGTTCGAAGGTTCCAACTCGGTGGGCCATTCTGAACTAACATCTATTTCATCATAGATAATAGGTTTACATTTTCCATCATGACTTTGGGTAATGGCTTGTAACCAAAGATTGCAGTGCGCAAAAAGCAAATCATTGAATTTTTCAAGCTCCGCTCTGTTACGTTTCTTGGTGTGTACGCTCTCAAAGGTGCTCCGATTCCACCTGCACCAGTGGGAACTACAGGGTTGGCTAAGTATCTTTATTGCAACTCTCTGCAGAGAGGGGATTTCATAGCCATATCCAGCCCACCAATCACCTAAAGATGCACATGGCGATAAAAATGAGATTCCAATCCGCTGACATATAAAATATCTCAAGGCAGTCAAAAAATGAAACTCACATCTCAAAACACATGAAATATACGGGAACAACTCGGGATAAGGGAGCCGCATTTACAGGCCCCCAAAGGACACGTCAGGGATCTCCAAAATTGATTCAGCCTATTCTGACAGACTGTTCTAACGGATAAACGATATCACTTAATGATTCTATTCTGACCAACAGTAACCTCGTACAAGTACTATATCCTGTTGGCTGTTGCTTTGGTTTTCCGATCCCAAGGAGCAAATGTAAGAGGATATTTCGTTTTACCAAGAACTTTTACGCCCCATGAGAAGAATTGATTGATAATGAATGCAGCTTAAACATACCTGGGGAATTCAGCGTCCTTCCCATAATAGCAAATTCTGTACCAAGAGCGCCTTGTGCATTTATGTATATTGGGTGTTCTTTAGTGATTTCTATTTTATCTCGATCTGTTGTAGCCATCTTTATCATAGTTTCTTGAAACCCATTCCTCATCCTCAAATCAATCTTAAAATTCGGGTTATAGAAAATTGAAGGATTAAGGAATGCTGCGGCTGCCTGTAACGGGGAGAGAAGCTGCTTATTCCATCCTTGATCAACGATCTCCCAAATTGGCATATATTTTTCGTCAATACCCTTATAGTATGCCTTGATTGCAAACTTTGCCCTTTCTATTCCCTCATATATATAGCCCATCGCAGGCATGTCCCCATCAACAATCCTTAGAATTTTAATAAGAGGTTCAGACACACTGACAGCTTCATGTGCAGACTTCCAAAAGCGATCTTGATACAGCAAAGATTTGATAGCTTGAGCCTCAGGATGTCTACAATGCATGGACGATATACATTCTGATTGTGAAAACATGTTCTTTAGATTGTCCTCCTGAATAACAATGGCCCTTAAGGAGAGATAATCAGCGACAGATCTACTAATTCTTGGTCTGATCAGTTCACTTCCACCAGTTAACTTCCTCATCATGTTCAAAGTCCATGCGTGGCTATAAATATAGCGTGTAATGGTCTTTGCCTCTTCAAGAACCATCCCCATCCACTCTTGTTTACCAATATCCTCCAACATCTTATCAATACAATAAGAAGCACAAGGTGACCAAAACAATGAGTTGTATTTGGACATGAGAAGCTTTCCTGCATATACATAGCTGGTTGCACTATCTGTTATTACCTGTACAACATTTTCCACGCCAACTTCCAAGACAATTGACTCAAGCAACTCGAACAAATAAGTAGTATCATCTTCATGACCTGATATATCAACTGACTTCAAAAATAGCGTCCCTTTTGGGCATGTGACTGAAATTACAATAATTGATTTGTTCCTACCATCAGACCAGCTATCACACAAGATTGTACAACCTGTTTCTTTCCACTCATCTCTGTATTTCTTGTAACAGTCATGTATGTCATCTTTCACTTTTTCCAGGAGGGTAGATCTCAATTTTTCATAACTTGGAGCTCTATAACCTGCCCCGCATGCTGCTATAGCATCCACCATTTCCTGATAGTATATGGATTTAGAAGCACTAAAGGGAATAGAATTGTGGAAGAAGAACACAGCAATTTTCTTATCAGCATCGTCCTGCCTTTTCTTTCGAGCATCATCCACTTCTGGCTGTGCACTAGGTGAAGGACGTGGAAATAACAAAGAGGGACCGGTGCTACCATGTTGTCCACTAGATCCATGGTTAGGATGTGCACCACCACTAGCTGAAGAACTATTTTGTTGAGCAATGGCTGCCCGGTCCACCCTCAGTTTCTTGGGAGTTTTCTGCTTCTTGGGAGTGCTTAATATAACACGAATGTGATCCCGCACATCATCTGGAACTTCTGCACAGGGTACTATATCTTTGTTCTTTATTTGAGCCAAATGAAACTTCATTCGGTATACCCCTCCACTGAACTCCCGATGACAATAATTGCATCTAACCTTCTGTCTCGTGGCATCCACAAGAACACAGTGCTCCCAACATGCATCTCTTCCACGAACCATAACCACTAAAACAAATTGGAATATCAAATTTAGATGCAAAAACAGGCATCAGGATAAACCACATTTAAGGCAACAGCACTATAGGTCAGAAGAGTTTCAAAAAGATTGAGATTTGAGGTAAATTAAAATGTATAAGATGAATACAAGACTCTCACATTTGCATAATAAAATCTTGAACAGAAACACGGAGGGCATATCGCCCTCCAGAGTAATTCAGCAAAGGATGTCACACTGCCTTGGCATATAAGCATCAAATTTGAGCCCAGTAAAGGGCAAGCAAATGCATCAGGAATTTGCCACCTCCCCCCACTCTTATCAAGGCAAAACAGATGAAGTGTCATCAAACACCTTGGTTAGATTGAAGCAATGCCAAAGAAACCTTAGCTCTTAAACACAGCAATAATTAAGACCTTGCTTTCACAGATGTAACCCATACAACTGGCAGATGACATCAAGTTTAAAATAATAATAAATGCTGATCGTCCAAAAAGCTTGTTTAGCTGCAAATAATCTATATGCAAATTAATAAAACTGACTCTGCAAAAATGTTTCACTCTAATTTGGTAGCTACAACACAATATTCTCACATGTACCATCATCTGATAAACCTGGACCTTCATATCTTTCACATTTCTAACCTTGACAGTCTCATTTTCTTCAGAAAAAGAAAACTTAAAACTCTATTAACAAAAAACAAATCCCTTTTTTACTGGCAATAAAATCGGTCAAAAAAGAAAAACCTTTGATTAACGCTGCATATTAAACACTGACTGACTTGTGAAAAAGATCATACCACACCATAATAGTCCGCATAAAATCCCAGTTTTTAACATGTACACAACTTTGTAAATTCTTGGTGATATAGCTTCTTCTTCGTTTCCATTTGTTTTCCTTCTGATAAATGTTTCCGTTATTTTTCTTGGTTGTAATTACTTTAATTTTTCTATATACGATAGAATTCAACTTGTTAGATCTCTTTAAGTACAAACATTTGACAGACTTAGAGTAGCATAAAAAACTACAAGATTAACAAAAATGAAATGCAAAAACTCGAAGGATAGAGAAACGAAAGGGGTGGTAAATCCTTATGTAGAAAGAAAGAAAGCTAGTAAAGATAAGAAGAAACAAAAAACAAAATATTTTCCTTTTGTTGTTACCTGGATCCGATTCTTGTAAGAAAAAGAGGGTGGACAGAGGAAAATTCGGAGGCTGGTCGGAATCTGGAGAAAATTGTGGATCGGCGATTTGGAAGAGAGGCAGGAAACGAGGAAATGGAAAACAACGCCGATAAATTAGTTGAAATCGTCTTTACTACTTCCACGTGATTAGTGCGTGGCTCCTCTTATGCTGACATGTACTACGGAAACAGTTCCTATAGGAATTGGAATAGGAACAGAGCAATTCTTCGCCGTTGCTTTTGTGGTTTCTATTCACGGCCTCACAAATTTACAGGCCCGCTCGCATTGTATTAAATAAAATTAACGCAAAAAAAAAATATAGTAAACAGAATATTATTTGATAAATATATAGTATACATAAAATTATATATTATTATTATTATTATTAAATTAATTCTAGTGAATCAATTTTAAAACCTTCTATTTTTTTTTTTATCTAACTCAAGTTTATTATATAAGAGTTAATAAAATGTTATATAATTGACTTAAACATTCTAAAGATAACTTGTTTGTCAATAAAAAAAATTTAAGAATAAAATTGTTCAAAAAAAATTTAGACTCAACTTTTTACCTTATTGAATTTAAAATTAAATTATATGATAATTATATTAGTGTTACTCATTTAATTTATCTAATTCAAAAACAACATATTTGATCAATAAAAGATAAATAAATAAATAAAGATAAACTTACCCAACAAAAAATTTCTCGACTCAACTTCTTACTGGGATTAAGTTTAAAATTAAATTGTATTAGAGTTTTATGATATAATTCAGTCAACTTGTTAATCTAAAAAATAACTTTAATGATTGTTAAAAATTCAAGAATAAAAATAAAAAATATAATTGAAAAATAGAAGTAGAAAGAGTTCCATTTTTGATATAAATAATGAAACTTCATTATATTTTTCAAGTTTTTTTATTAGGTAAATGGTATTACTTATCACTTTATATATCTCATAAAACCAAAATAAATATGTTTTGTTTGTTGTTTATGCTTTTCTGAAAATTCATTTATTTTTTTATTTTTTAAATATATTATAGTTAAAATATATATATATATATATATATATATATATATATATATATATATATATATATATATATATATATATATATATATATATATATATATATATATATATATATATATATATATATATATATATATATATATATATGTATAAAAAACTAGTGATTAAAATATTATTTAATTATAATAGTGAATTGGTGGAACAAGAATGGTGATGGAAAAGTTGTGAAGGTGCTAGTTGTAATAAAATATTATTAAATTAATGATAATTGCTATTTTATTGATAAATAATAGTGATAATAATGGACGATGATGTGATACATGATAATTATAAAAATAGTTATAATGTTTATGTGAAGGTGTCAAATTTTACTTAGTTGAGTCAATTAATAACAATTATATTTTAAAAAATTATATAAGTTATTTTTATACTAATATTAATTTATTTAAAATTTTATTGTTCTTACTTTATTAGTTTAGCATTAATACTAGATAGACGATTCTCACTATAGCCAAGTTAAATTTATTCTAATATAAAAAGAAATTTATTCAGGTGAAGATAATATTTTTAAAGGATCAAGAAAAATATAAAATTCAAATCAATAATTTGAATAGATTTAATAAAAATTTATATGGAATTAAAACTTGGTCTGTTCCAAATCCAGTTTATTGTTGGGACCTAATACTTAACAAACATGGTGGTTCATATGGACAGCCAAGCTTTCCGGGATTTTTTTTTTGTTTAGGTGTGTTGGCCTTAGCAATGAGAAAATAACAATGTGAATTATAGTTTTCATGACTAAAACAATGGTGGTGGTTACATAATAATGTTACAATAAAAATGATAAATTGACAATGTTAATAGAATAATATCTTGTGAATAAAAAATATTTTTGTATTGTTTTCAAATTTCTATTTTAATTATAAAATTGTTTACAAACAAAATTAAATGCTATAGTTCAATCCTATGTACTTTCTTTTAAATCTTTTTCAAAAAGAAATTTTACTACAATAACATCACATAGCACCTTGATTTTCTCTAAAAAGATTAGTATAGCTGGGGAAGTTTCCATATTATCTTCTGCAAAAAGATTACTATTTCATCATTCCACCCAATGCTCACTCAACGAGGAAGCTAACCTGGCCTTCTGCTAGACGGTATACAGCATTAAGAAAAGCTAAGTGAATTCAAGAAATAATATCAAGGGCATGAGAAATGAATTCCTATGTGCTACACTTTCCATCAACATGTCCAGCATATCATTTAACCACGAGGGTCCAGCCAAGTATTCGCTACTGAAGAAGCTGCATTGGAACATGAAAATTCTGCATACCACAGACTCGATTCCAATTTCGTTATATAATTGATCAACAACAGAGAGATTTGTCAATTGGAATACTCATTCAAATATGAGGAACACACTCCATGATGAGATTGAACTATTTCCATTTTGCCAAATTGAGATTCACCACGAGAGGAGTCAACTTTCACTCACATGTTCCAAAAGAAATCTTAACATGGCACTGCTTGCCATGAGAATTTCAACATTGTTTTGTAACAAACAATTGTTCTAACAAAATTTTAAATGTACCATGACAGCACAGCTTACATTCCGATAAGGGTAATTAGTGCTTTGCTTATTTTCACAGCAAAAATGTATTTCTCTCATCTCTCAAAACCCACAATTGGGCTGGAATCATGTATATCACCTCAGAAATTTTTCTTGCAAGAAAGTCTACTTATCTGCTGAATTCTGTTGCTGCTTAGCTCTGCGAACACATTCATAATAACTCTTAGTGAAGGGGGCACATTTCAAAATATCATTAGCGTGCTCCTTGTAGCATGCCTTGCAAGCATCATAATCAGCCAAACAGGGCATGGTCTTCTGGTATGGAAGCTTGAATTCCTTATCACGAAGATCCTTGGCTCTTTCTGTAACTTGCTGCACCATGTCATCCTCCTGCTTCAGCAACTTTTCTAGAACCTTCTCGCTCTCTCGAATGACTGATCGAATCTCATCCAACTCGGCATTTGCAGGCTGTACAGGTTGGGTTATTGGCAGGTGCATTGGAGTTTGAACTGGCCATCCTGGAGAAGCAATCCTTTTGCGTGTCTCAGAATCACCATGCAGCTGTTTCTCATTCACCTTAGGTTTGGGCAGGGTAGGTTCTCGTTGGGTCTTAGGTTTAGTCTTCTTTGTTTTCTTCTTTAATTTCTCCCCATCATTAGCGAATCGATTAACAAGTTCTGGAGTAATTTGAATAGAAAAATCACCCATAACAGCAATTCCTCAAAAAATTTAACAATGAAACCTGAAAACATCAATAGAGGTTTGTGCTAGATTAGAAACAAATAATTCAAACTCCTGCCTGCTCTTTTTAAATATATGTGAAAACTTTCTTCAAGACATTAACTAATAATTGGCCTGTTGTTGCACCTTACAAGGAACCGCATAAGAAATATCTTGGTTGGTTGACAGGCAACATGAATCCAGTATAGAAGAGAAGATACAATAACAGAAGAAGGTTAATACAGAAACAAACTGAAGATCAAGAAATCAAAGCCAGCCAAAAGCACGTGGAAAGATTAAACATATGCAACATAAAATTATGCTTTCAAATAGCAGGAATCTGACCCCCGGTGGGGGGGGGGGGGGGGG